CACACACACACACACACCCACACACACACACACACACACACACGCACAAACACAGACACACACCCTCCAGTGCCTCATGCCGGTCTTGTACTTTCATGATCACCACACAAGTGTTCCCTCAGGACTAGACTGAACACACACACACACACACACACACACACACACACACCAAAAACTGTACACCATCATTGTTTGACATTCACAGTTTAAACAGCTTGAACCGGAAATTACAATTTCATTTCTTTTGCCACGTGTGGTTGTCAAGAGCATCCTGATTACTCTCCGATAATCAATACCTGTTATAGGCTACTGTACTGATGCTGAATGACATCACATTCACACACACTGCTTCACAAACTCCTCTGTTCTAATTAAATTAAGTAAAATGCGTGAGTGTGAGTCTGATAACGTTGACTGTAGCTGTCCTCTGTTAGCCGCTCATGCTAGCACCTCAGGATCCCCCCACCTGTGTTTGGTCTAACGAGACTGTCCATTAGCCGCATCGACACTCTACTGTAAATGCCAGCTTTGACATCTGGATGCCAGGCGGGGTGACGCTGCCTGCGCCGTGTAAGTTGCTGACCTCTGAGGTGGCGTTGTAAATGTCAGGCTGCTCATCTCACCGGGAATCTCTCACACGTACACTCACAGATGGCGGATACAGGAAGCTTGTAGGGACATATACAAGGCTGGACACACAGTAATGTGTTACATGATAATGTTTACATTAGCACACGACAAAGAAAGCAGCAGCACAGTGGAAATCTGAAGGATTTTTAGCCGTGTTAGCATTTTAGCTTTGCTCTGCTAGGCGAGGAACGTCTTGGTTTTTATTTCGGCGCGCCATTTTTAACGGGTTAAAGCGCAACACATCTCATATCTCGCGGCAGCGTCACATGATCTAGAGATTCGTTTTTCACGTGTGACGCGTCTCCAAGTAAAAACAGACTGAGAAAAAGCTGTTGATGTCACATTCACATCATAGCAGCAACATTTCCCCACAGTTTCTGTCTTGGCTGAATGAAAAAATGTCTGTCTTAACCATCTTAGCAGCTCCGTGTGGAGACAGAGACGTTTTAGTGACATTTTCTGTCAAAAGTAAATCAGAAATTAATTTATAATGAACAGAAATCCAACATTCAAGTAACCTGCCATGTAATATGTCACTGATTTCCATTAATTTCAGTAAAAAAAAGTGAGATGATTTGTGCTCCGGAGTGAAATCTGATCTGAATGTCTGTGGGATGACGCTGTCGGCACCTTCAAAAATAAATATTACTATATGTAGACAAATGACTCATGTGATTGTTTCCTGATCTGTCAATGCTCGGGTTTCGGTTCAGTTAGCTTCAAGTCCAAAAACCTCTTTGTCAGGGACGGATCGTTAGGAGGTGGCAGGAGATCTGTGAGCTCCGACAACCTCTGTTCCTGATAGACAAGAGTCAAAACTCATTTTTTCTTTCTCAGCTAAACATAGACATTGTTTTTTTTTTTTTTCAAAGCATCCGAAAAAACAAGCAATGCTGTTTTTTCCCATGAGCGCCGTCTCCTTTTCCTTTCAATTACACCAGAAACCGTTTAGTTCAGCCAATGGGAAAACTTGAAGCTTTGGATATAAACTGCATCAGTCATGGATAAAAATCTAAAAAAGAAAAACACAAAAACAAAATGTATTTATATGGTAATGGTTTGAGTTATTCCTTTAAGAGGTTCCATGTGTAACAATGAACAAGGGAAATGTAAATGTGTCTTGTATTGTGAGGATACATTCATATGCAAAACCTCAAAAGAATTCATCCAGGGCTTCGCAAACACTGAGAAAAAAAGAAGCAAAAAGAAAAGAAAAGAAAGGAGACAAAAAGAAAAAGTGAACCTGCAGCACTCTGAAAATGTCAAACAAAATGGGACAAAATGGGGTCTCTTCAAAATGCCAGCTGAAGCAGGAGGAGCAGCGCGGAGGTGAACGTCATGTTTTAAACTCCGTCAAAACTTCTGTTTTTATTATTCTTATTCTTTATATATATATATATATATATATATATACTAGTCCATGTAAAAATATATATATATATATATTTTAAGGTGAGACTTCATTGTGAGAGAGAACACAACGGCCATAACTCAAGCTAATAGCCGCCTGTTGCCATGACAACAGGGGCCCTGGCATCTTCTAAAATAAGACAGAGGCAGGAAAAGATTAGAGGAAGCTGGTGCTGCATGGGGCAACCCCCCGTCACACAGACAGAGTGGGGGGGTTGGGGGGGGGGGCATCGCACACAGCAGCGTCAGCAGATGGAGAGAAGAGGCAGAGCTCTGATACGAGCGAGGAGAGCGGGAAAAAAAAAAAAAAATCATTTCAGCCGAGCATCTGCTGCCTTCATCTCCTCCGCTCACATCTAATTACAAACACAACAATCTGATTGGTGATAATCTGGTGGAAATGAGAGCGGGAAACTAACAATACACCAGTGTTTGTGTAACGACTCTGAAGCTTCACTCATATAAATGATGCCACAGTCGATTCGACGGCAAAAGAAAGAAAGTTGGATCCAGAAAAAGTGACCAGCAGTGGTCACTAATTCAAACTCTGAGGTCGGTGCGATGTCATTCTGCCACGGGGGCGGATGTGGCTCAGTAGGTCGGTGGACGGTCGGCGGTTTGATCCCCGGCTCCTCCAGTCTGTGTGTCAAAGTGTCCCTGAACAAAAAACCTCGGCGTGATCTTTGATTCGGAGCTAAATTTTAAATCTCATTCATTAAATATGGTTTTTAGTCATTAGTCACTTTATTTTATTGTAATTATGCTCTGAATTGTATTTTATTCTATTTTACTTTTTTCTTGTATTTTATTATATCTTATTTATTCCTTTATTATTCATTTTCTTACGTTTTTTGTTTGCTAATGTTATTACAGCTTTTTAAATCCATTGTATTGTATCTCATCAGTTTTCTCACTTGATTTGTCCTTTTTCTTTTTAGCTCATCGGTGTGTGAAGCTCTTTGAACTGCACTAACTTGTATGAAAAGTGCTGTACAAATAAAGTTTGATCGATTGATTGATTGAACACCAGCCCCACTGAACCCCAAACTGCCTCTAGGACTTGAAAGGTAATAAATAAAGTGAAGTATGTACACTCCAGTCGTTTCTGCTCTTTCCCAATAATTTCACCAGCTGTGTTTTGTTCTTGCCCCAATACCAAGTGCACAAAATATATATTGTGTATAAAAGTAAAAAGGCTCAATCGTCCAAATACGGAACTTTTTACCAGGAAAAAGATTAAACATTTGATTTGCAGAGGGACGGCAGCTTTTATGTTTAAGGAGTTTTACAGTGCAGTGTCTCGGCTGTCTGCAGTAACCCAGTTTCAGCCGGCTCGTCTTTATTTAGACATTTATATTCTTCTTTCATTTAAAGTTGTTTCTTTCATGTGTATGAATCAAATCAAACTCTAATGTGTCAGTTTAATGTCAGTTAAAGCTAACCATTTAGTTAACCCTCTGACTCATGTTACTCCCTGTAACTTCAATATAATTTAACAAGGAGTCAAACTTGCAACCAATCAGCTACGAGCTCGCTTCTCTGACCGTTAAGTGCCACTGATTTCTTTCAAACTGACTTTAAAGTTGTCGTGACATATCACTGATGAGATGTTACTGCTCTTCACAATTGAACCCCAGTCTCCACTCACAGTAACATCAGTGTTAACGACCAATTATCTGCCAGAGTGAACAGCAGAGAGACGAGGACCAACAGTCCCCCACACACTCTGCTCATTAGGATGAAAGGACGGCTAACAGCAGAAAGCTAAAGCTGCACTGACAATGAATGGTCTGGTTACATGTTCTCTCTTTCTCACACACACACACACACACACACACACACACACACACACACACACACACACACACACACACACACACACACACACACAGATATGTAATTGTCATGTACTTAAGGTGTGGACAGAAGCAGTGGTCTGATGCACAGACTTTCTCTTCACAAAATTAGCTGCTGCTGATCAAAGCAGGTCCAATCTATTTGAAACCTTCACAATGACACACACACACAAACACACACACACACACACACTTTGTGTATCCTTTCCTGCTCATAAAGCTGTTGTGATGAGCCTGTCTTGTCAAAAATATCTTCAGATAACAGTATCTAAAACACTGCTAATTATACACAGAAATGTACTGAGGCTAAAGTGTGTGTGTGTGTGTGTGTGTGTGTGTGTGTGTGTGTGTGTGTGTGTCAGAGAGAATATGAGAAAATATAAAAAGGCAGAAAAGTGTAATAAATGCTGCCAAATCAGTATTTAGAGACTCATTTTACATCATATAAAAGAGCAAAATGAAGCTTCCATCACTTGGATCAGACGATTCCTTCACTTTGTCATACAGGATTTTTCAGAAAATGACTTTGTAAGGTTTCGTAGTGAGGAGTGTTAGGAGGTGTTAACTGCCACCACAGTCGCTCCATCCCTCTGAAAACTGCCGAGCCGTTTCCTGCCGTTGTTAGGTTTGTTTAAAGCTGCACAAATCTTTATTCTAATATCAACAATGGATCAAATTATTGTGTAAGGTGTGGTCCATCCACAGAGCGTCATCACAGACTCTGATGATGATGATAATAATATTGTTGCGTTCACTGCATGTGAGAAAATCTGTTTTTCTTAATTTGGTCGAACTGACCCTTTAATATCTTCCAGATTTAAATTTATTCCACACACTTCCAGCATGAAATACACCGACTGCTGCTCATGAGTCACACAGGAAGCAGGAACTGTACAGGTGACTCATCCGGCCTGATCCAGCTGCATCCAGCTGTTTGCTCAAGGTGCAGCTGGACAGTGGAGTGCGTGGTGACAGTAATAACTGTGCCAGTTCAAACACCTGCTCTGTGTTTGAACATCAGAATTTCCAGTCACTTTTTCTAGAGGGTTAAAAAAATGCTGTTTGTGTAAGAACATTAATGTATTGATAATTAAGTTGTCTTACCTTCATAAGAACAGACTCGCTGAGCTTTTCTCTGTTGACAATCTTTATGGCGACTTTCTGACACGTGACACAGTGGACGCCCAGCTTCACGAGACCTGAAACACAAACGTTATTAATTAAATTCACATGAAGTCGTTTCTTCGAACGGAACAAACAAAAAAAAATCTCAATTTCACAGAGGAGATCGTAAGAAGGGGGAGCAATGAAAAGAAGAATCCATGCATCTGGATTAATGACGTTACGCTCAAGGCTACCCATCATCCTCTGGGGCACCAGTCACTGCTGGAATCTGCTGCCTTCAAATGACTCCACACACTCCACTGAGCCCGATGATTGTAGATAAACCGACTCCAGGCTTTCAAAGGTAAAATGGACGAGATGAACGAGGCTGCGGATGTACTGACTGAGCATGAAGGTCCACTCTTCACCTTGGAAACAGTGGATGTGACGAAATGTGATCTCAACTCATCTTTCAACTGCAGCTCATTTCATCAGCAAATACAGCTCAGGTGATCATGTGACCACACAAGATACAGGACGTCATCTTTTCTAGTTCCATAAAAAGGTGGTTTAGACATTAATGATGCTGTGGAGAAATGTTTTGAAGGGATAAATCAACAGGGAAGAGTTGCCAGGAGTAAGAAGAGAAGGTCAATACCACTCTCAGCTACAGCCATGAGACTGTTAGCTTAGCTTAGCTTAGCATAAAAACTGCAAGCAAGAAGAACAGGTTAGCCAGGCTCTGTCCAAATATTTTTAAAAAGACTTTCCTAAAATAAAATGTATGTGGTTTGTTTAATCTATGCACAAACATAAATGTAAAAAGAGTTAAGTGGTGTAATTATTTTTTGACTAGGACGACGACTTCCTGGCAGTCACCGGCCAGGCCAAGAAATATTTACAGCATCCCTCCCTGCGGTATCCGTCTTCTGATCTACAGTAACATCACTGAAATGTCTTTAAAGCTCCATATTTTCTTCTTCTTCTGTGTTTCATTTGAAGTATTGATCCATAAGAAGATATAAAAACCATCTCAGTGTAGTTTTACATCTCCTCTCTCAGGCTTCTCTCTGGAGCTCTAGTAACAACAGGTCGGTGAGCCAATCAGAAGAGAGGAGGCTCTGAGCCTCTCTTCTGATTGGCTGACTGTTTTCTGAGTGATCCAATAAAAATAAAGCAGATTTCAGGTAAAAACACTCAGAGAAACCAAATCCTGTAAAGGTTTGGATGGTGGGTCCAGGTGGGCGGGGCTTGGTGACTGCTTTGTTGTGACATCACAAAGTTCCAGAAGTCCTGACGGCTGGTTTTAAGGCTCAGTTTCTGAATACAGGCTGTGTGCATTTCTCTGTGGACTGAGGCTTTGATACTTTCACAGTATTAATATAGAAGCTAGACCTGATCTATAATCACACTACACATGGACACAGACCTTTACACTGGAGGAGCTTTAATGAAAAGACAAGACTACAGAGTCTGTTACCTCTTCATATCTCCCATCTGATGCAACATATTTGAAGTTGAAATTTCTTACATTTAATTTCAATGAAATCACAATTTAATTTCAATTTTTGACCAAAGTAAAGATCAGTAGGTTCCAATACTGGGACTGAGTTTAAGTTTTCTATATAATGACCTGGAGACCAGATACCAAAACAAAACTTTGTTGATATGTTCATATCCCGCTTCCATGATGCATGTCGAGGCACAACATGTAATATAATATATAAACACTAAAATAAAACAATCCTCAATGAAAACACTACGATAAAAGAAGTCTCCCTACGGATCTGATCATCTTAAAGGAAGCTGAATAACATATGTTGCTCATAACTCTCAGTGGCAGCTCCCAGCTGTACGTTGTTTGCGAGTTTGCAGAACATAAAACAGGCAGAAAACAATAAAATTGATTTGCATCCTGCAACTCCCAAGTCTCTTTTTCATCGTGTACGTCTGAAAGTTCACCTGACGCGACTCTTGCTCTGTAACAGAAATGTCAGAGCGCGACAGCTTCGTCTTATTACAGCCACAATGGCTCCATCCATCTCTATCAAAGCTGTGACACCAGGGACCAGAGTTTACTTTGTACTGAAGGTCTGCAGACGGCGCTGGAAATGCCACTGCGCATATGCACCTCTTCATTACCTCACGCTGCATATATATTTCACAGGAGACGAGTGTCACACTATTTGAAGGGTGATTTCCCTGCGGTGATTTCCCTCACTGAGAAACAGGCAGAGCCGTGAGCAGCGGGGGTGTTTGGGGCCAATATGAGAGTCTGGGGGCTCTTTTATGTCTCCAGTTAGAACCGAAATGGCATCATGGGCGACATTCACCGGGTCTCATTGATCCTGTTGTCAGAGCGGCTCGAGCGCGGCTACGACAGCTTACCACAATGCAGCGTCGACGAAAGGCCCCGGGAAGGCTGTTCACACAGTCACCCGTACATGTTATGAGTGGTAATGAAGGGAGGGACGGATGGAGAACGGTCAGAGTCCGGAGGAAATAACAAAATGAAGCAGAGTTACAGGAATAAAGATGGTTTTTAAGGCTTAATTGTTGCTCATCTTCTCTAAAAGATCATTTCAGTTTCTACTCTGAGCCAGAACATGCAGCAGCTAAAGAGACAGATATAACCAGAGCTCAAAGGGGAATGGAACAATAAATGGACATTTATATGGTGCCTTTCTAGTCTATCGACCACTCATAGCGCTTTACAATGTATGTCTCATTCACACACTGATGGCGCAGTATCAGGAGCAGTTGGGGATCGAACCAGGAGCCGTCTGATCTGACACGACTGTGAGTGATTGCGAATGTCGCTCTGTGTGTCTGCTGGATTTTCAGATTTCTGTGGAGCTTTTCTGCCAAATGGCCAAAAGATTTATCAGAGCAGCTTGAATTTTTAGACATGGTTCAATACCTTTTATTGCTTTTTTATTAAACCAGAGTTAAATCATTTCATCTAGGCAAAGGTTTCCAGTCAAAGGTTATTTCTTTTATTTCTTTTGCACTTTGACCTCAGAGAGAAACAACGTTCCTTTATCCTGGTCTGTAGACGAGTAACAATAATACTAACTAATAATACTAAGACGTTTTCTTCTTCTAATATTTTCTAGTTTTACACAATAAATTAATTTAATTTCGTATTCTCCACCAAAAGTAAAGACTTTATTATCACACCATAATGTAGGGTAGTAGCTCCCCAACTGGGGATCCCTGTCTGATGTCAGGTGTGTAGTTTATGGTCAGTTAACTCATAAATCCTTTGCTGTATGTATGAGCACAGACAAGTTTGTGAAAATAAATATTAAGCAGGTAAAGAATCGACTCTGATTGATCCAGATGTTCCGGGTTGAATTAATTAAAATTAAATTGAAAGAAGAAAATTCTCCTAAAAGTGACTGAAGGAGCGTCAGGGTTTAATCAGCTTGGTTAAACATCTGTCGACCGGAGGAGGTTCTGTATTTATTCCAGACTGATGTGGACCAGGTGTTTCACTGCCGCTGAACAGAGACATAAAAGCTACCTGCAACATAAGAGCGGCGGTTTGACCGACAGGTGAACTCTGAGCAGCAGTGAGCACAGGCGGATAAAAACTCTACAACAAACTCTTTCAGCAGGTGAATCAAACTACAGCGCGACTGAACCACTGAGCTCCATTGATTTCTCCACCCTCAGTCAGTTTGTTCGTCTGTGCTGAACCAGATCGATCGATGCTCTCCAGGACTTCTGAACCCGACAGACCGGCAGCGGGGACTCGGCCTCTGGTCCTGCTAAAACCTCCCATGATGCCTCACTCTGCGCCTTTGGGCTGAGAGAGAGAATTACTCTCAAAATCCCAATTAAGCTTCTTAAATGATTAATTCTACATTCAGCACCGAACACAAAAAAGTCATGAGATAGGAGGCCAAAAAGTCAAAGACTGCACACAACAGCTTTACAACGCAAGTCGACTTCAAATCCCATAGTGCACTGCTGTAAGAAACAGCCAATCAGAGAGCTGCAAATTCTTTCCTCTGCTAACACACTGGGTGTGGGGATGAATCAAACAGCTCTGTTGCAATGTTTGTTTTCCAGATATTCCCATACTTTGATTTCATGCAGTCATCTACCAACGAGGCTCATGGGTATTGTAGTATTTAGTGGCTTTTATACATACCACACTCTAATTAAGATTTCTTACAAATGAGATTGAAATATTTTTAGACAATAAGCTCCAGGAAGCTCCACGTGTGAGTGACAGTAACATCATTGTTAAAGAAAGTAAAAACAAAAGCCTGAAAGAGATTTTTTTGTTCCCGCCTTATTCGAGTCCTGTGGACGTTAGGCAGCAGCTTTTGTTCTGTTGTAGTCTCGACTAATTGGAACCAACACACCAGCTGATAATTATGTCGAAGAACTGACCACAGGTGCAACAGCTCCCCAAGGAGTCTGAATGAATTAGCATAGCCAACTGCAAGGCACTAATAAGATAGCATTAATGGCTAAATAAGCACAGTGAACGAATGTAGATGCTCGCTTTCAAATTAGCAGTGAAGCGGCCGAGATCTAACTTTTATGAACTTTCGTAATTTTGCACTAAACAGGCAGAACTGTGTTCAACGCATCAGCTCGTCCATCTCCAGGGTTCAGCCTGAAAACGTCTGTTTTCTGAGGCTAATGAAGGTTTTGTCTCTGCGGCTTGTGTCCAATAACAGTTAAATAAAGTAAAATAGTAAAATAGTTAATTAATAGTTAAAGATTCTGGTACTACAACCTTCCCGAGATTCGTCCTCTACAACACACTTGAATATAATGATAATAGAGTTTTCAGCCTTTATAATGCAGCTGAAAACTAAAATGTTCTGCTCTTGTTTCCACTGTTCTCCACCTGCTTTCAGAACAAACTTCAGGGGATAAATGTGGCCTCTGCACAGGAGCAACTTCCCCGCAAGGATCAATAATCAATAAGGTCTTTCTGATTCTGCTGTGACACTAAATGCAGGACAGCTACAACAAACACTACAGATGTGGATGGTGTCCTGCAGAAATAAGGATAAAACACTTTAAAAGGGTGAAATAAGATTATAGAAAAATAAAAGGATCATACTGTGCA